TCTCCATAATAAAGCGTTATTTGATCAAACCAACTATACAGCGATTCTTAGGATACATTACCCTAACTAACTTGAAAGTATGAGCGAAATCGATTTTTCGAAGTTTGCCACGGATTTTGAATTTTGCTTGATCGTTACAGACAGTCACTCTTAAAGTCGCACATTTCAAGTGGAACTTCTGCAGGCAGCCATCACATATAATATCTTGTTGATTCCTTCTTATAGTTTTCTCACAAATAGTGCACTTCTTCTTGTTGACTGGACCAGGATTAAATTGTATATCATTGGAAATTAAACGAAATAAAACGAATAAGTACTTATTCATAGGAACAGTCACCAGACTCGGTCTTCTCAGTGTTCTGAACACAGCTCTCGACGGGATAGATCCATAAGGAGTGAGCTTCGACAATATTTCTTGGCCAAATTGCCTTCCCTTCACTAATATCGAGGATATTTCACCCCTCAACGGTATCTGGTATCCTAAGGAATCACTATCTTCATATGAATGATGAAATAGTAGAAGATATAAACTAAGAAAGGTAAGAGCGAACAAAGCACCTCTTAACCCCATCGTGACTCTGTGTAAATACAAAATACAATCAACTCATTCTAATTCACCTTTGATATCAATAGCTTAGCTATCAGGCTATCAATAGCTTTCATACCTGGCTATCATTAGCTTAACAATTAGGCTATCAATAGCCTAGCTATCAGGCTATCGATAGCTTATCTTCTTGGCTATCGATAGCTTAGCTTCTTGGCTATCAATAGCTTAGCTATTAGGCTATCAATAGCTTAGCTATCAGGCTATCAATAGCTTAGCTATCAGGTTATCAATAGCTTAGCTATCAGGCTATCAATAGCTTAGCTATCAGGCTATTAATAGCTTCCATACCTGGCTACCGATAGCTTAGCTTAAATGACAGAGTAGAAGCTACGGCAAATAAACCAATTACTGTAATCTGTGGAGACTCAATGATCCTTCATGTGGGAACAAATGACTTAAGGTGGCTCGACCCCCTCACGCTTGACCGCTACCTTCCACTTTTGGAACGCTAGTGCATTAACGTGTCTTATCCTATTGCAAATCTTTTTTGCACATAAGTCACATAAAGATTGAATTAATATTTGATGCAATTTTTAGTGAGATCGGACGTCATAACACGTGATTATGATGAAATATTTGATTTCGTTTAGAAAATAAATTTAGCCTTGCAGAGC